GATTATGATTGCATGAAAAGCTATTGTCTATGACACGCTCACTTCAAACTGATTCACATGGATTCTCATTCTTTTCAGACATGCTGTATTCAATCTCGTAGCTATCTCATGCGAATATAGTTCTCTTGATGAGTTTTTCTCATTCACTACGTCTCCTTTCACTTCAGAGTTCAAATCAACTTCTTATTCTGTAGCATATACCATTTACTGGATACGTTGATGGGTGTTGACGGCCGAAATCAACAATACAGTAATCGAATTGAATTGTTCAACAACGTTCGACAGTCAAACGATCATTTATTGAGTGTATATTGCAGATTGAGATTTTGACCTGAATTGTTGAGTGAAATGAATGAGAAATTAGCCGAAGAGACCAATTTTGGTGTTAAAAATTAGGAGAACGATTGTAGTAACAAGGAAAAGAATGAAACCGTTTTAATACGGATGAAAACCCTGTTAGGCCCGGACGAGCTAATAATACTCTGAAAATAGGAGATTCAAGAGTGTTGCCATCAGCTAACCGCATTTACATACCCGAGTTAAAGAACACCATCACAAGGGCGTTCTATCATAACATAACAACTGTGAAAAATGCTAATTGCCCGACCCCCTCCATTACCTCTTGACACCTCTAAATTACCCGAAATGGGTAATTTCACTCCGTATGAGAACCATTGCTCTATGCAAAGACGTTTGGTAATGATTGTTCCTTAAGATATCTGCAAGGAGGCGCTGCATCTGGGTTCCATCATATCAGAGCGAATCAATATGAGAAATGGAAACCAAGTCTGTTGCACTGTAAAGGAAAATACAACGTTCGCTGCACGGAGGTACCTTTTCGTAGCAACATAACGTCCGAACTTATGGCGTTCAGCTGTTGGTCTAGTTAAGCATTTAAGCCTCTGACAAACTTGACAATAAGCTCAACTTCAAGTCAGCATCTGCACCTAATTTTGTCCCATCTCGTGACCATATTTTTGTCAGTAAACAACGTTGAGTGCACAATGTGATCAAAAATTATACCGCTGCATCCATATCTATCAACTTAGCAAACCAATAACATTTGAGATCAACCAGTACAGTTCCTTGCAATACATATAGCATGGGTGGAAGATATTATTTTTCTAGTTGCGAATTTATTTTGCAACTGAACTTGTTTGAAGTGATTTTGAGGAATTTTATGTAATTTACTGAATGGAGGAATTTTAGGTTGAATGCAAACGAACCAGTCTTAATCTTGGTGACGTTTTTATTCTGGATCTCGGTTCGAATGTTTATGTGTGGATGCCACCCGAAAGCGGGCGTCTTGAACGCATCAAGGTGAACTGAATAATTCTCTGGGCCTCAAACTCTCGAATAACGATAAACATTCCAAGAGGGAGTTGATAGATTTGGGAATCGTTTGTGAGTTTGATTTTCCGTCAGTAATACACGGCAACTGCATAGATGGCATACAGACAGTCTGAAAACAATGCAGGTTTCTTGCACTAATACATATTCTGGGTCAACTAATGTTAATACTGTAAACAAAACAGCGGATGGCATTTCACCTGCGCTGATGGTGCTGAGAAGGATGTTTAGCTTACAAGAATGCAAATTGATCATCAGTTTTTCACGATTTCCAGTTATATTTTGTGTTCTTAAGACAACTACTCCTCGAGCCACTACTCTCTCCCAACTGCTTCATATGAACTCATGATTACATGGTTAATTACCCCGGTCGCATTTGTCCAGGGGCAATTATCAGGAAAGCAGTTGTTCTACTTAGCAATTATACGTTGAGTGGCATGTGCCTGGGAGTTATTGCGTACAGGATAGTTGTCCGCGAACTCATTCTGTTGGTTCCAGGGTATGGACCAAGCGAGAAACATACGCGATATGCGAGGTGGTAAGGTACAAGTGCACGGTTTAGGTGATGATGTTTACATTGTTTGTGTTTATTCATTAAGTAATTCACTGCTTCTTCGAGTGCTTATCAATTGCTGACTAGTTTCTTTGATTAGTTACTGATTCATCATTAATTCGATCTCCGCTCATTTCTTCCCTTATTCATATATTTGTTTGAAATTTTGAAATGTTCTCAGTCTTCTTGTGACAATAATAAGATGTAATGTTACTAAGGCAATGCATTACGCAATTACTGCTGATGATTGTTTCTTCTGAATAACAATAACTAGCAAGAGTAATATAATAAGCACACTTCGGCACAAAATGTGCATCACCCGTAAGATGAAAGAAACTCCGAACTCGAGAGAACTTGCACCGAAAAAAGAACCTTCAATGGACATACTTTTCAATTCTAATTCATTAACGTAGAAACTTATAATGAACCGATTGATTAAAATTGATTTTCTACATCTAGTCAATCACATGACTAGATTGTGATATGCGGAACGATTGCAGACGCAGATTGGAATACGAATGAAGAATTTTGGTCGCAATTTGGTGGTGCCGGTAATCTGAACGACATAAAATCAGCGAAAGCCGGGGGTGATGATGAGAATCTGTGGCGTCCACAAGCTCGCAAAATTGTTCTGTGGAGGTGAGACCTATAAAAATGATTTGCCTCATGATCCAACGCTTGAAATGTTGTTAAAAATTGCTTGAAAAAGTCGTCTAAACGTTCGTTTGACATTTATCGTCACTGCTGAATGATCGTTGCATGGACTAGTGTTCGTCGGGGAACGGAGTTCCCGACGGGGAACGCGGGAAGCACTCCCCCCCCACGCAATTCGCTCCCCTACTATTTTGCGGGGAACCTCTCCATCCAGTTTTCTACCGGCGTAGACCTCCCCCCGTCCAAAAAAACTGCTCCCTGACGAGCACTAGTATGGATTATGTTATAATATATCACATCACATGGTTGTTCAATGGGCATTTCATTTCACAGTCCATATTTAGAGTATCTGACGAAAGTGGAAAAATGAAGATTACAAAAGTTTCTGAAGGCAGCTTCAAGCGTCGTGATCTAGAGTCAAAAGTAAGTTTATGTGTCATTTATCTTTATCGTTTTTTTTGGATCAGAAGATACAATTGAAAGTAATTGTGTATTGTGATCTGGGAAAGGATCTGCCCGAATGCTTGTACTATTATGCTCGTGAACGGTGTCTCCAATGCTCTCTCCTTATGATAAAAAATAATCATCACCCACAATACTCTGGAACACCTTTATTTTTTCTACTGATCAATTTTCCGTTTGCTCTCGAATCGAGTATGTAATGGAATAGAAGCGTGGCTGCTACCGGAGACTGTCGCTCTCTCATGCCTAAGTTCGACCTTTGACTGATACTTATTTATGGTTAAAGTTAGACGGACTCAAACTTGCTTATGCCTGAACAGTGGTCTCAGCG